GTGTGTGTGTGTGTGTTGTGTGTGTGTGTGGTGTTTCCCAAGGCAACGGCACCCACAGTGCCGCAGTGGATACGAAGAGGAGGTGCAGAGTGTGAGAGTGAGAGACGGACTCGAGTCCAGCAGTCAAGAGAGAGTGTTAAAGAAAGAGGAGTGTGTGTGTGTGTGTGTGTGTGTGTGTGTGTCAACACTATGAATCTCAAGAACATAGCTGCAGAGACACGCGCGCACACACACACACACACACACACACACACACACACACACACACACACACACACATCGTGACTGAAGAGCAGAGCGACATCATGTGTCCATAGAGGGCGTGGCCGACCGGGAGCGAGGGAATTTTGTTGTTGTTGTTTATTATATTAAAAATACATTTTTACAAATAGTCGATACTTGTGTTTTTGAAACGTGGATTTTATACCCGGTAATATTTGTACATTAAGATATTAAATTACATTACAGGTCATTTAGCAGACGCTTTTATCCAAAGCGACTTACATTACACTTTAAACCCGTGGCCTTTTTCACATTTTGCCCGGGGAGAAATTAGGGGTTTGGTGTCTTGCTCAGGGACACTTCAACATGGAACATGGGGCAGCCTGGAATCCAACCAACAACCTTGTCCTTCCCAGCACACCTTCTCTAACCCCGGCGCCACGACGACCCAGATATCTGCGCTTCCTGCACGTCCTCTGCGCTTGTCTCAGCTAAGAAGCAGATCACGGACACAGTTAATGAATCAAATCAAAGACATCGAGATTTGGGCCGTTTAGCGTAACAAGAAGGACCGCGAGCCGACCCGAACTCAGTACCAGAGAATATACATATGTGTATATCTATACATACACACGTATGTGTATATCTATACATACACACGTATGTGTATATCTATACATACACACGTATAGAGAAGGAGGGATAAGAAGAAGAGGAGGAGCTGTTAGAACCAATAATCAGATTATTGATGAGAGTTTTACCTCTGATAACGTTTTACGTGACGCAGCGTGTTTCATGACAGATGGAGACACAGGTCAGCTGATCACATGCTAACCTTTACAACGGTATTGAAATGTAGATTTATTTATATATATATATATATATATATTTATATTTGATGTATATAAACTTCACCAGACTTCAGTCACGTTTTGGTTGCCGGTTCAGTGCCTTGCTCAGAGGCTTAAGCTTCAAACACGTCTTCCTTTCACTTTCATCTTACTTAAGACATCACACACACACACACACACACACACACACACACACACACACACACACACACACACACCTGAGTAAACCTCTCAGTATAAAGAGGCCTCTTCTTAACTAGGTGCTCTGTCCGTGTGTCTCGGTGTGTCTTTTCGTCCTAAAACATGTATTATTGATTGGAACAAGCGGCGGTGAAGTGCTTTGTTCAAGGGCAGAGCTGCAAGCTCGCCACTCAGCAGAGGGACAGAGAGACAGACAGACAGAGACAGACAGAGAGACAGACAGACAGACAGACAGACAGAGAGAGAGACAGACAGCCAGAGAGACAGCCAGAGAGAGAGACAGACAGAGAGACAGACAGACAGACAGACATCTGTGTCTGACTTTGACCGTGGATCTGACCTTTGTTTGGTCTCTTTGTGTCCAGATGTCAAATAGACAAATCAATCCTTGTCCTGTGTGTGTGTGTGTGTGTGTGTGTGTGTGTGTGTGTGTGTGTGTGTGTGCGCGCGCTCTGGCACGTTACACACAGAGCAGCTCAGGTCCGTGTGGACAGCGGGGACTCCTGAGGACATGGACGGTTTTGAACACACACAGATAAAAACGCACCAATCAAAGCCTCAGATGAAGATCATGTGAAACATACTAACAACATTGTCACAAGCATGTGTTTTGAAAAGGTCCCAGCATGCACTGCACCTGGGGGGGCAGTGGTTAGGGGGCTGCATTGCTCACGGGCTCGAGGCAGCGACAGCGTGTGTGTGTGTGCTGACCTGAGGTCAGCAGCTCCTGCTCCATCACTCCACAGCCCAGCACCTCCATCCAGTCGCCCTGGAAACGCACCTCCAGCTCAAAGGAGGGGTGAGTGAAGGGGAAGTAACAGTCGACCCACCGCACCTCCAGCTCTGAGGAGGAGGAGGAGAGGAGGAGAGTGACGACGAGAACAAGGACGGAGAAGAGGAGGATACAGTATGCACGGTGGTGTGGAGGAGGAAGACGAAGCCTCAGCTGTCCTCACCTTGTCCAAACAGGTGAGTGACGAGTCGAGCCAGAGTGGTCTTCAGGTTGAACTCCAGCAGCTTCACAGCCTCCAGAGAGTGAGTTTCCTGTTTGTGAGGCGACCGCCGGCCTCCGGCCTCAAACAGGGACAGCTCTTCCCCGTGCTGCACCCCCGAGAACAGCTGGAAGACACATCTGGAGCCTCACAACTCTACCCGACCCACGACCCGGACGAACGCGGGTGGGCCGAGAGGAGACAGAATGATGATGTCTCCTCGCTGGCTAGTTAGCTACCTAGCTTCTTTATCTTAGTTAACCAGTTTAACTTTGGCTATTTAACAGTTAAGTGCCAGCAGGCCACTGGTTCCACTACACAGCCAGCTTAGCTTAGCTTAGCCTTAGCTAATGGCTTCGGAGGCTAGCAGAGGGCGAGGCGAAACCACCCTCCTCGAGCCGCTGCGTGGCCTCTACCTCGTGGTTGGAGAAGAGTCGGACCCCCTCCATCTGGTGGAAGACGGGGTAGTGGCTGGCGTCGATCTCGTCCCGCCGGTAGACGTCTCCGGCCAATAAGAAGGCGTCGAGGCCGGAGCTCACCAGCTCCCTCTGGTGGGCGGAGGTGTGAGCGCGAAGCATCATTCTCCTAAAACAAGTGATCAATCGGATCAATCGATCTTTGGAAAGTGCACTTAAATTAGATTAAAAATCCCGACATGTTTTCATTTTAAAGCCAGAAAGTTTATTTTATCTAAAGCGAGCAACTGAAAATACTTTTACTGTATTGAGATCAGATTACTTTTACTATATAAAGCTGCTAATACTAATGTGTTTTTATTGAGTTCAGGTGAGAATACTTCTGTACTTTTACTGCATGAGATATGAAACTGCTTTTTAGCTGAGAATGCTTCTTGCCACAAAATGAAGAGTAGAATACGCCTCTACTCTTTATTTAGCAGTATTTAGTATTGGTACCTCTGCAGAGTACCTCTGTTAATGTGTCTTTGGGGTAAAATTAACAGTTGTAGACATTTAAATCATCAGAAATCAGAGTCAAACGACATCACTACAGAAGAGATGCATTGTGGGCGGTGATCAGCGAGCATCACCTGTTCAGGTAGTAGTTGTCTCCTCGCTTCCTGCTGGGATGGTCGGGCGGGATCAGCAGGCTGTCAATCAAACCACAGAAGAACATGGAGATCTGTGTGGATGCTTCTCGTCCTCACGCTGCTCTTCACGCATTCAACAAGGAAGGAAACGAACAGCTGAGCCCCAAAGGGAAGAGTTGGTAGTTGGCGCCGACCTGTCGAAGTTCTGCTCCACGGTAACCACGGGGCTCAGGTTGTCATGGACGGAGAACAGAGGGTTGCCCCAGCGACCGACGTAAGCGCTGCGGGGGGGTCGGACGGACACGTGGTTATTGACGCATGAGCAGAGTAAACAAACAAACAATCAACAAATCAAATAATATAGATTTCACGTTAGTTGCATCCTGACTTTAAACATTTTGACTTCATGCTAAACGTCTTTCGTGGATCATTTCAACAACAAAAAGGGGTTAAAATATTAAAATATTTGTAGTCATACATAGTATCAGAGATCAATTAATACGTCCAAACATTGAGTTTAAAGTACAACTAAATGTGGTTAAAAGAGTGTTGGAACTTTCTTTTGATTTCATTGTCATTTAATTAATTATTATTAATTATTGTTTTGCCTGTTTGGATCATTTTAATTAAATACAGGACAGACCCCAAAACATATACTGTTACTGCAATAACCCGCTGAACTGCAATATGTTTACCGAAAGTTCAGAAAGGGCACCGAGTACCAGCCAATCACAGCACACGAGCACTAACCAATCGCAGCGGAGGAGGCGGGAACTGAACAGACGTTGTCAGGACAGGATGGCGGCGCGTCCTGAACCTGCGTACCTGTAGAAGTGAGCTTTGATCCGCTCCTTCATCAGCCACACGGGATGGTGGGTTTGGTTGTGGAGGTTGCGGCCGACCTTCGCCAAGACGCTCGGCGCAACGTTGGTGAAGTCGTCGCGGCTGTAGGTGTGGCCCAACACCTCCACCGAGTCCCGACCAATCAGGGCTTGAGGGGCGGGGCCATCCGTGCTGAGGCGTCTGCGCGATGCTGCGCCGCGATTGGGTGAGAGTGTTGACAGGCAGCCGCGATGGAGCACGGGGAGGGGCGGGCCATGAAGGAGGGGGAGGAGCAACGGCACAGCGTTGTTGAGGAGTCTCATGCTGATTGGTCCATGAGGCTGGAGCGACATTAAAGGGACGAATTAGAATATTAGTTTATCGTTCAAGTCTGCATCTGACGGACATTAGAACGAGTCTGTTCTCTGACAGACAGATGGACTTACTGTGAATAGATTACTTATAGCAGGTAAGGATTATCATGATGAGTCTTTATATTTGTGTCTTCTGATACTTCATAGTACACTTTTCTCTCTTTCAACCGTGTGTTTGGTCTCCACCACCTGCCGCGTCAGCCATCGCATTCATGGTTTGAGCAGGAAGTGGAGAGACGAAACGAGCAGGATGTGAATCAGAGACGATCGTAAGAGAAAAAAAACCCAGAACGAAGCAACTTCTCCGCGGAGGTCAGAGGAGGTGGAGAAGATGATAAATGAGAAGAAGAAATGTCTCGTTGCTTTCTCTCTTCTTTCCATCATTCAACCTCTGACAGGAGACGAGACAATCGCCCTTTCATGTGTCCCCATTAAATATTTGTACACACACACACACAGACACACACAGGGGGAGCATCCCTGAACAAGACAAAGCGGGTGTTGCATTGCAGTAGCAATGCAGCAAAATGGATTATTGTTCCTAAATCTGTGAAGCTTTTACCTGCTGCTGCCGTATTATACGAGAGAGAAACACTGAGGTGTGTTTCTCTCTCACACACACACACACACTCACTCACACACGCACACACACACATATGCACACACACTCACACACTGACACACACACACACAC